ACAAGAGTGGCGGCCAGGCGTGCGGCGGAGCAGGGGAAATGCAAGAGTTATGACTACCTACCAGACCACCCCAACCCAACCCGAAGACCCGAATTTGACCCGAATTTCGGGTGGGGGGGGGGTCCATGTGTTCTTGCAATGTTCCCCGACCCCCCCCACTGGAAATGGAGGGCAAATTAAAGCCTTCGGGTTGGGTTGGGGTGGTTTGGTGGGTGGTGAAGGTAGGAACCCGTGGATGGGGTGAGGAAGCGGGTGAAGCCCGAGCCGGGTCGTCACTCCCCGAGGAGGGGGGAAAAGCGGCTCCCTCGGCACGGCTCTTGCGCCCAAGGGCCGGGTGGTCCACGCCCCCCCCCCCCGCTCGCGTGCAAGGGGGGCCCGTGCCTGATTACGGCGGCCGCGTCTCTCCCCGCAGTGGCAGCGGTGGGGCGAGGTGGAGGAAGTCAGTGGGCGAAGGCAGGGGGGGGCGGGGCTGCGGGGCTGCGAGGCTCCTCAGATGAGGTTGTGGCCAAGGTGGAAGTAGTTGGCAAGAACATTGAAGCGGACCGATGTGCATGGAGATCGGAGAGGGCGGGCCAGAGGTGGATGCAAGCGTAGCGTGGAGGCGGCGGCGACAAGGCTCGTGGAGTACAGGGCATGGCAGAGGCAGAAGTAGGCGTAAGGTGGGTGGTGTTGGGACTGCGCTCGCGTCACTCGGGATGGCGGTGCTGGTGACTGAATGCTGCAGTGCCACATCGCGTTGGCTGGTGCCGTGATGACAGTGACTTCGTAGCCAAGGTGCGGTATGGTGGTGGGAGCTGTGGGGGAGGTTGGAGTCAGCTGAGCAGCAATTATGCCGTCGTGAAGCAAGACTGGTGGAGGCACGGGAATGCCGCGCCCCGTGAGGGCGGCTGCACCGCAGGAGGTCTGACGCTGGGAGGAGGTGGTGTCGATGCTGCTGCTCCGCGCGGTGAGGGCGGCCCGTGCCGCGGGCCCTGCAGGCAGCATGTGGCAACTGCCAGAACCATGCCGGGGCAGCTGCTCCCTGCTCTCGGTAGCCGCGCACTCCTGGATGGAAGCGCGGAGGGCGGAGGCAGCGTCGGTGGGTTAAGTCCAGTTGGCAGAACGAGAGATGGTCATGGTTGCCGTCGCTGGACCCCGCGTCCGCAGCCGGGCTGCTGCTGAGCTCGTTGTGGTATGTCCGCCGGTGCTGGGCCCTCTCGTAGCAGATAATGCGGTGCATGTTGCCGTATACTGCCCAGCGGTACTCGCCCTGGTCGTCCGTGTCAACTGTGGGGCGCAATGCAACGAGAGCGTCTGTGATGCTGTTGACGTAAGCCACGTGCTCGATCATGCGGTTTGGGTCCAGTCCTTCAGCGCTGCGGCGCGGTGAGGCGTAATATTTTCCCTATTCGCCCGTCTGGTGCGTCGCTTGGTCCTGTGCCCTCTCGCCCCAGGCCCAATAGCCCGTCGGTGTCCAAACTCTGGGGTTGGGTGGTGATTCGATCCATGTGATGCGGATGTGCTCGACGTTCCTGATATTCAGGCATACATCCGTCTACTTGTCCTCTGGGCTCCAGTCATTGTAGATCTTGCGGGCCTGGTTGGTGTCGCCGTTTGGGTGGGCGCGACTAGGAAATACCCTTCTTGTCCCGCACCCTGTTTGTGTCCATGGGCGTGTTGGCTTCGATGTACGCTGTCGATGCTCGGGATGGCCTCGGTGGTTTCAATGTTGATTCCCATGGGCGCGATCTCCTCGCGCTGGTCAACGCAACGCGCACCTTGCTGCCGTCAATACATTCGTCAGGCCCTGCGTCTGCAGGCAGCTGGCCACTGGATTAGCTCGGCGTGGCCGCCTGGAGGTTGCCGTCGGCGGCCCCTTTTGCTGTGGCGGTGGCAATCGGATGGCAAGTGGCGCCAGCGCAGCCGTGTATCGCAGATGATGCCCATGATCCTTGGCGATGTTCGGCTTCCCTTCGCTAGCGGCGTAGGGCTCTTCTTGGGAATAGTGATGGGGGAGCGTTGTACCGCGGTGGCTTTCACTGGTCGGTCGGCGCGGCGCGTGCGTGTCGTCGGCGGTGTCCGTCGTTGACGCGGTGACCCGTATCTGTGGTGCCTGTATCTGTAGTGCATTGGGAGTAAATGCGCACGTGTTGCGTGCTTGTGTGTTGCAGCGGCTCGTCGGCGGTGACGTTTTTCCTTGGTGCAAGATGACACCCGGTCGTAAAAGTCATCCCGTCCTATGCTGTCGTGTGTGATGCATGTCCCTCGTTTTGGACTGCCCATTATGCACCATCGTGACCCGCAGTCTCTGGAAGCTGCAGTATGTTCGCTTGCAGCTGGAGTCGTGGCATCGGAGCTGGATCCTGTGTTTTGCCGCCGATGACCTCGCTGGCCTTCGCGGGTGGTGGTCATGATGAGAGTGGTGGCTTGAGCATATCGCCGTCGGTCTTGTGCGGCGGCTGGGGGCTGATGACGTAGTCGCTCGAAGCGCTGCGGTACCCGATTGTCTCCTTGCTGTCGTCGGTGAGGGGCCTTATCCATGGTGTTGAGAACTGCCGATTCTCCGGGAAGTCTCATGTGGGTTCTTTGGTCTGCGGATTGTGGTTGTATGCGAAGCCCCATCCTCATCCTCCACTTCCTGCTCGACCACCGATCCTCACTCGATCTTTGCTCGCCACCCCTCCTTGATCAACAGTGGAAAATCAATCCTAATTCCCTCCGCCTCGCCCTCCTCGATTCCTAATGCTCTTCCGAACTCCTCATCAAAAATATCCTCATCATCACCACCATCATCAGCATCCTCATCATCAGTATCATCATCAGCATCAGCAGCATAATCCTCCTCCTCCTCCTCCTCCTCCTCCTCCTCATCATCATCATCATCATCATCATCATCATCATCATCATCATCATCATCATCATCATCATCATCATCATCATCATCATCTTCATCATCAGCATCATAACCATTATCATCGTCATTATCAACATAAATTTCTACGTCGTCATCATCATCATCAGCATCATCATAAGCAGCATCAACAGCATCATCGTCATCAGCAACGACATCATCATCCTCAACATCATCATAATATGGATTATCAACATCACCGCCGCAATCCTCCTCATCATGTTCGTACTCAATGTCATCATCAACATCTTCAAAAACACGCAAACATGGTCATGAACTTCTTCATCACATGCGCCGTAATCATCAGCATCAGCATCAGCATCATCGGCATCATCCTCACCATCACACTCAGCATCAGCGTGTCCAACACAATCATCACCAGTACAGTAACATCACCATCAGCATTGTAATGAACACCAGCATCCTCATCAGCATCATCATCATCATCAACATAGAGAACATCAGCATCATCATCAGCATCAGCATCAGCATCATCAGCATCGTCACCATCATCATCACCATCATTATCATCATCAGCATCATCATCCTCATAATCAGCATCATCAGCAGCAGCAGCATCAGCACCAGCATCAGCATCAGCATCAGATTCATCATCATCGCCAACACCACCATTTCCATCATGCACATCATCATCGTACTCGTCATCGCGGTTACATTCACCACCGCCATCCTCATCAGCAACACCAACATCAACAACAACCCCAACGTCATCAATGTCATCGTCATGCTTCTGCCGCTCCGCCAACTGGTGCGTCCCCGCAAGCGCATCTTCTCAATAGTGTCGCACTCTTCATCCGTCTCCTACTCATCATCATCAGCTTCACCATGATCACCAGCCTCATCATCGTCATCATCATCACTCGTATCCTCCTCCTCCTCCTGCTCCTCCTGCTCCTCCTAGTCCTCCTCCTCCTCCTCCTCCTCCTCCTCCTGCTCCTGCTCCTCCTCCTCCTCCTCCTCCTCCTCCTCCTCCTTCCCCTCCTCCTCGTCACCATTATCCGGCTCATTCTCCTCCTGCTCATCCTGATCCTCCTCCTCCTCCTCATCCTGCTCCTCCCCCGTCTTCGTCCCCTCTTCATCCCTCCTCATCTTTCTCCTTCTGCGCTATCCCTCCCCATGTTCCTCTTTCTCCTGCCACTCATCCTGCTACACCTACTCCTCGGCCTCCTCCTGCTCCTCCTAGTCCCCGTCTTCCTTGTACATCCATGTTCCAACAAAGTACACTGTCTCAAAGAGGCATGTACCGCTCTTGTAGCCGACCGTCCAAGGGAGCGACCATATTTGAGGAAAATGGTACTGGATGCAGGCAAAACTCGTTCTAAGGGCTTCACGACTTCTGCTGCCCCCTGACTCGCGCTGGGCATTCCACAATGAATCTGGGTATCCCTGGATTGGTATCGAGCCATCATCTCCATTGGTCGGACTACATCAAGCCAATTCGATTTACACAAGCGTATCTGGCCTGACCCCCGCAAATCGATTGGAGAAAGGTAGTCAAGCCCTACTGGCAACTTACGATCATGCATCTCACGGCGCGGAAGGACGGCACCAAGCTGGAGAAAGGTTCGAGCCACGTGATGGGGTCACTTACTCGACGAACAGCAGGCCAGAACTTCCCGCTCAGAAAGACACGCAGAGCACACCCCCGTGTTGGAAATGTTCTTGAACGCGGGCCAGGGCCACGTCAAGAGCAAGCGGGCATGACTACATGCTGGTCCCGCAGCCCCTCGAAGGTGGTCACCGAGAAAGCTTCTGGGGCGATGGAACGCGACCCACAGAGTCGACCACAATGGCTCGTTTCGGATGGTGGCGCCAGCAGGACACGACACGACCTACAGACCGCTTACGCCACCGCATTCCCAACCAGTCGTCACACTGGACGTCGTCAACCAGTCATACGGGGCACACCCCACATGGGCAGAAGCAACAGGGACCAATCCAGGGCCCCGCACAGGAGAAGGAAGGAGTGGGAGGAGGAGGGAGGGGACAGCAGGAGAGCCGAAGCGGAAAGCGGAGCAGAGCCGCCGGAGGCGACCACGGCGCGGCCCGTGACGTCAGGAAAGCCAGGAGCGGTGCACGAACCAGCCTGTCCAGCGCAGGCCGAATTCGTCGTCGTCGTCGTCGTCGTCGTCATCGTCGTCCCCCTCCCCATCCCATCGGGGGGTGGGGGCTGTGAACCCTGGAACACATCCCATCTTGGGTGGGGCGCACTATGAACCCTCGACCCTGGATCATATACACCGACCCTTGGCCCAGGATGGGCCTGCCCGGACTCGGTGTGTGTCTTTGTGCGAGTATCGTTGGCGCCCTCCGACCTCCTTCACTGGAGCAGGCTTCTCGTCCAAATCCAGCTCTTACTGATGGACACAGGGCCCGTGATCCGCCCGCTGAGGCCGAATGCCGTCGCAAGTTTTCTGGCCGGATCAGGACCGAATCGCGAAATCACCCACGAATCGTCCCGAAACGGATCAAAATAGGATCGCCGCGCCCGGCTCTGGCTAGCACCGGCCGCTGCAAATGAATCGGCTCGAAGCGCATCCAGTCAGAATCGCCGTCCGAGCCGGCAAACCGAGTCGCATCGCATCGGATCGTAGGCGGACGTGGCTTTGCAGCGACGCTGGAGATCTGGGAAACCCAGCCTCGCCCCCGCTGCTGCTCGACAGTAGTCCTTCCATATCTCGCCCAGCCGCGCGTCCCTGCAGGCCACCTCGAGCTGGTCGGCTCGCGCCTGCACGGAGAGGGGCAGAGCTGGACGAGCGGTTGACCGGACGCGCTGGGGGATTGCATGTTCTCCTCCCCCTCCCATTCCATTCCTGTTCCTCAGAATCAACCCTCCCTGTGTCCCCCCGAGGCCAGTCGAGAAAGGGCGGGCCAGGCGTTTCACCCGAGACTTCCTCACCATTTATTACACGGAAGCTTTAAACATTGGCCACTGCTTCATAGATGGAGGGCGGGCGGCTTCCAAAATGCGGTTTTCGCCTTAGCGCCGCGCACATTCGTCTTGAATATTTGCACAAATTTTACGGGTAGAGGGCAGGCCGTTTTCAAAATGTGGCTCTCGCCTTGGCGCCGCATAAGTTCTTCTCAACACTTGCAGGAATTTAAGGAATTAAGGGCGGGCCGTTTTCAAAATGTGGCTCTCGCCCGAGCGCCGCGCCCATTCGTCTTCAACATCTGCAAGAGTTTCACGAATTGAGGGCGGACAGTTTTCAATGGTTCTCGTCTTAGCGCCGCGCACATTCGTCTGCAACATTTGAAACAGTTCCACGGATAGAGGACAGGCCGTTTTCAAGATGTGGCTCTCGTCTTAGCGCCGCGTACATTCCTCTCAACACTTGCAGGGATTTAACGGATGAAGGCATCTTCAGGAGGAGCTTGGAGGGAGGGCTTTTTCCAACATCGTTGATGAGCCCTGGGTTTACACTGCTCCTCCTCCTCCTCCTCCGCCTCCTCCTCCTCCTCTTCCTTCTCTGCCTTGATCGTCCTCATCCGTCTCCTCCCTCATTCATCCTCATCCACCTTATCCAGCCTCCCCCATCCATTTCCTCAGCCGTCTTCTCATCTGCCTCCGACTCCCTGCTCCTCCAGCTCCTCATGCTACTCCTCGTCCTCCTTCTCCTCCTCCCCCTTTTCTGCACCACATCCTCAGTCATCCTCCTCAGATTGTCCTCACTACATGTTCAAATTACGAGTACTCCTCCTCAACCACATCGAAGTTCATCGTCCGAGGAAAATTGCGCAGAATGCGACAATCAACGCAAGCAAGGGACACCCTTTGGGAATAAGCAAGGAGGTGATGGACTCACGCACACGTCTGTTCAGAGCTGTATGCCACATCTGATGGCCCGATGCGACACCGAGCTTTGCTCAGAGGGGAAACGCCGAATGCACTAAGAATGCGTGAAGCCAACCGCCTCGCCTCGGACTCGGGCATGACTTGCTGGCTGGACTGTCCACCCCTGGGATCGGCAAGGATGGCACTGTGACGCGAGCCAACAAAAGCCCGAGCTGGATTTGAACAGCAGGAAATACCAACGTTCCGCTGAGAAGCGCCGAACCTGAATCCAATTCTTAAGCCTGAATAAGGCTGATACGCACAACTTCTATGAGGCCTGCGTTACGACTGAGTCGCTCAGGAGTTCGAGTAGCGAGTGGACTTCAAATAGAGAGACGACGGATCATTTTCGCTTACACTGCGCTCCGATCCGACAGCCGAGACTACAAATTTGAGTGTCACTGGGTCTGGCGCATCCGAGCTCGCCTGTGCAAGCGGGCTGAGCTGTGGCGCTGGACGCTGAGCGAGGCACGCCATGGCGACCCCGATCCGCTGCAACCTCCGCTGCACGGAGCCCAAGCCCAGGCACCTGCTAATCTGTATGCGCGCACTCGTCCGCTGAGACTGCGCTCGCTCCTGGCGAGGAAACAGCGCATGAAGCATCTGGCTGCCTCCCTCCCCCCTGTCCTTTCCCCCTCTCATTGGACTCCAAAATTCCACGAAGAGGGGGAGTCGGGGATCTCCTGACCCGGGTCAATCCAGACCCGGGTCAGTCAGGCCTTGCAAGATCCTGCAAGATCCTACAGGATCCTGCAGGATCCTGCACCCAACCCCGGGTCAGTGCAGCCCTGGCCCTGCAGGCTCCTGCAAGATCCGGCGCTCTGGCTGACGCCCGGTTTGCACTGACCCCCGTCCCTTGAGCCCCGAGGGAGGGGTGGCCGAGCTCCCCTGGTGTGCCTCCCTGGCCCTCGGAGCCTCCCCAGTCCGCCCACCCGCCGCGGCCTCCCAGGAGCTGCCCGCGAGAGGCCCTCTGGGGTGGCTCGTGGGGGGCACCAGCGCGTCGGAGAGGCCTCCCGAGCGGCCAGGATGGCCCAAGGACGGCGCAGGAGGCCCCCAGGAGCAGCAGCAACCGCTGAGCTCCGCCCATGGTTCTTGTATGATGCTCGCACCCCCTGCAGGTGTCAGAGGGTCTGCAGCCCGCGACGACCCAGAAGCCTGCCCGAGTGGCCCGGGACGGCCAGGAGGGGGCCCCAGGAGGGGGCCCCGAGGTGGCCCAAGAGGGCCCCCAGTCTGCTCCAGCGAAGGCCCCGAGATGACCCACGAGGGCCCCACGAGGGCCCCGAGATGGCCCAAGAGGGCCCCGAGACTGCTCAAGAGGCCCCTGAGACGGGCAAGAGGGCCCCAGGGGCCCCAGGAGTGGCCAGGGAGGTCCAAGATGGGGAACTTTCCAACGCCCCAGGAGCCTTGCCCCCCAAGATGGCCCCCAAGATGAGTATCGTTTAATCGATCCCCATCCCCAGCGGCGTGACCTGGGCCCCGCTGGCCGATTTACCCCCGCAGATGGGGATGTACGTCGTTCTCTTCGGGTTTCGAGGGGTGTATCACCAACTGGGGTGGTAATTTGGTGGGGGTCTCGACGGGGATGGAGATCGGATAAACGATACCGACGAGAAGCCCAGCATGCCACCAGTATGACCTCAAGAAACCCCAAGAAGCCCTCGGAGGGCCCTCCAGTGAGCTCGGGATCCCCGAAGCGTCTCCCGAAGGGCCGCCCCCGAGGCCCCCAAGGAAAGACCCCCGAGAAATCGAAAAAGACGCACATTTCCTCTCCCGGGGGTCGGCGGAGTGGCGCAGGCCTCTTGGAATATCAGCCCCGGCCTTGACATGCAGGTGGTTTACGACGGGGCTGGACCTGAACAGTGTTTTTCGATTTCGTTTTCCCTCGTTTTGATCAACCTCTACCGCAAAACGAAAAGGAAACGAAAACGGCCCACGAAATCGCCAAAACACCGTTTAGGTCCAGCCCTGTCTTGGAATATCATCCCCGGCCTTGACATGCAGGTGGTTTACGAATTGGTCTACCACGACGGTCACCTGCGCACATGCGAGCAACAGCTGAAGTCGCTCGTGGGCGCCCGAGGTGTATGGCGGAAACGGCGCTGGCGCCAGGATGCACGGGCGCTATTTCCATGCAAGAAGAGCTCCTGTCTGAGTCGCCTGACGCAAGCCCGAACTCGCCCAGAATCCACGAGTCCGGCTCATCAGCGCTCAGACACCACAGCGCAGATGGATGAAACGCGTGATACTGCTGTTCCACGGCAAGTGGGACCAGAGGTGCCCTGGAGGGAGTTCGGTGCACCAAAAGCTCCCAAGGGCCTCGGGCGTTGCTTAATGCGGGGGCGATAAGTGGGCGGGGGGAAACGTACGCCTGTCGTGCCCCTTCTGGGTCCCAGAGGGCTCCATTAGGGACGAAACAACGCAACTTTCTTCACCCACCCTCCACTTTTGAGCAGGAGCCGACCGTCCCGGCATTCCTATAGGCCTAACGCGTAGAACGAAAGCACGTCCTCAGAACGCAGACAAGGCTCTTAGGACATAGAGCCGACGTGCTCGAACCAGACGGTCTCAGCCAGAAATGCTCTAAGAACATGCTTGGGTCGGGCGCTGACCAGCTATACCTTGGGGGGGTAGCGCGGTGACACCGCATACCTGGCAAGATCCGGACGGTCACCAAATGAAAGTTGCCAGGCGCGCGTTGGCCATCGCACTAAAGAGCATCGCACTAAAGAGCACTCCAGTGGGCATGTCATACACATCGCACTAAAGAGCACTCTGCCGGAAATCCACTCTTACGCATCGCCGAGCCGAGGGCTTTCCGCCGCGAGCGGCAGCCAGCGGATCCGCCGGAGCGGCGCGCCCTCGCGGAGGCCGGGCCCCACTGTGCACCCTGCGCCTCGAGCCTCCTCTGTAGACGAGCGAGTCCCACTGCTCGCAAAGCAACTGCTCGCAAACGGTCTGGATCCGCCCGGGGGGATGCACGATCCATTACGTCGGGGTAGCTGTGCTGTTTTTTTTCGGACGTTTGCGAGTGGGCGCTCCGAGTAGTGGAGCGCGCTCGGTGACTCTTGCGGGTTCGCGTGCCGCCGCGGGCGGGCAGGGGCGATCCGAATGGCTTTGTCCCCGGGAGCAGCGCTGGCCCTCTTGAGCCTAGCCAGCCTCAAGCACAGGCCCCCTGCTTGGGGCCCGAACACGTAGTTGATGCGACGTCCGCGTTGAGAAAATCGGGCTCCACATCGAACCGCATCGCCGATGCATCGGCGATGCGGCGCGATCCTCCGACCTCATGTGCTCCGACCCCATCTGAAAGACCTAGATAAGATCAACGAGCCAAAAGGTGATGAACATCTGAGGGATGCGTCCTCAGAAACTGAGGGAATCCCTTAGATCGACACCGAGATGATGTGATGCCAATCATGATGGTAGGGATCTGATTCAGGCTGGCAATAGCCGAGGGAGCTTGAGCCAGGGGCTGCGGACACAACTCTCACTCGCACGCAGACACACACACACACACACACACACACACACGACCACACACACACACACACGCACACACTCTTGAGCGTCGCAGGCGGGGCGAGACAACCCACACGGCTGTTCGGGAATTGTCCCTGCCGGACTAACGCCGGGCTAAGCAAGGAAGGGAAGCCGCCGGGCCCTTTTGGAGCATTGCGGCCATGCGCGCGGCGGAGCGGCGTAGGTCGGGTCAGGCGAGCGCGCGGCCACACGCACAAATCGATACACACATGCACACAAATATCTATGTATATATATATGTGTATATATGCAGATGTGTATGTATATATATATATATATACACATGTGAGCTACTCTTTTAGGCATCGCGGCCACGCGCACGGCAGCGCGGCGCAGACAATCGAGGGGGGGCAAAGGCGCGGCTGGGCCAGCTCAGGCAACGGGGGACCGGCAGCTCAGGCCTGCTCATGCTCCGCCCATAGGGGATCAAAAGGGTAACTGAAGAGGAGGAAGATGAAGTGGAGTGTCCGTGGAGGAGGAGAAGGAGGAGGACGGAGGACGGAGGACGGAGGGCGGAGGAGGGTGGAGGAGGTTGGAGGAAGAGGAGGATGATGTTGAGGAGGAGGAGGAGGAGGAGGAGGAGGAGGAGGAGGAAGGAGGACGGAGGTTGGAGGAGGGTCGGCAAAGAGAGGTGGAGTGCAGTGCGCGGGGCAAGTGGAGCGCAGCGTGGAAGTGCCGCGGCACGCTGGAAGGGCAGAGGGTTGACAGGCAGACAATCCACACACACGCACACACTAACATACATATATCTATACACATATATATACATCTATATATACATATATATGTATACATATATATACACACATATATATATACATATATATATACCAGTGTATATATATATATATATATACATATGTCCACACACACACGCGCGCAGGAAGACGGCGAAGGCAACCGCAGGGCCCGCCTTGGCCGCGTCCAGCGCCGACTGCTGCTCACCTAGCGCCCTCTCGTGCCTCGCGTCGAGGGCTGCGGTCGCGGCCTCGCGGCGCGCGGGGTGGCTGGGGCTCACGAGCGGGCCACGACGCGGCCGCGTCGCAGAGCTGACTGTCCAGCACGGCCCCCCAACACGTGCCCAGGGATCGAGCAGGGACCGACCGTCCCGGAATTCCTGTAGGCATCCCACGGAATTTTCTTGGAACCTGAATGTTGTAAAAAAATCCATGTAGCCGGTTGATTGAAAGACGCCTGTCTCGGCCAGACATGCTCTGAGAACACTTCGCGCAAGCCACAAACAAATGATTCTACCGAAATATTGTGGGCCAACACGCAGTCAGGACGCTTGCCACTGCTTCAAGAGACGAGCCCCACACACACACACACACACACACACACACACACACACACACACACACACACACACACACAAACACACACACACCACACACACACACACACACCTGGCAGCAGTCCGCTGGAGATGCCATCGTGATTCGTTTCTGGTCAGAGCCCCAGCCCCCCGGGAGGGGGATCCAATTCAAGAACTGAGGCACAGATAGCACCTCTGCGATGCGCAAGGGGCAAGATAGCACAGCGGGTAAATCGGAAACGCATAATGAAAGAAGGCACGCTTCCATGTCATAGACAGAAGCGCCGCTTTTTTCTAAATCCCACCAACCATTAGGGCGTAAGTGATTTAGGGAATTCGTTTCTTTGATATTTTGTTTCACCTTCGGGGACGGATCTACCCATTCCTCCTGCAGCAGCGCCTCCTCCTGGATCTGGACGGAGGGTCTCGCTGTGGTGTCAAAAGATCTTGTTGACACAAGGTAGTTCCGAGATGGCTCCCAGGAGCCCGGACAGGCCAAGATGGCTTTTCAGAACGCCCAAGGTGGTTCAATTCAACTTCCAACATATCTCCAAGAGGTTTCAAGACCGCCCCAGGACAGTTCCAAGTGGCCACGAAGCCTCCCAAGGACGCCCCCGAGAGAGCCCCAAATCATTCCAAAACCTATCGGGAATCAATGATTCCTGCCTGCCTGCCAGTTCGCCGCCGATCGGCTCTGGAGGCCTCGAAATGGCCCCAAGATCACCCACAAGAGCCCCAAGAGGGGCACAAAAGAGCCCGACGAGGGGACAGTAATTAAGACCCCCCTCTCTTCCTTGACTGATGGCCTCCGAGGTGGCCCCGAGAGGGCCCCTGGGTCCCCCAAGAGGGGCCCAACGGAGCGCCAAGAGAGTCTCGAGAGGGCACCACCAGGCTTCGCTACAGGCTTACCAACGCGCCTCCTCGAGACAACTCCCCTGGGCGTCGTTTCGGGATTGGCTGGTGGAGATACGCGAGGCGTCGCGAATCCAGTATGAATTGCCGACGCGCCATCCCCACAGCACCATCAGCAAGGGGGGCATGAGAACTTGAGCCAGCACAGCAGGGTGCCCAGTCGTGCAGCAGAATTCTGCAGCGCAGAACGCAAACGCGCTCGGACGACCTCCTGCTGCGAGGACGCCTCCGAACGCCATGGACCGCCAATCAGAACCGCGACCGCCAGGGCGGAGGCTGGCAAAGACATGCAGGAACTCATATTGTATCATTCTTAAGTCGGACATGTCCCCCTACAGGCGGATTTTAAACGAAAATAAACAAAGTCAAAACATGTTCAGACATATGCAACAAGTCGTCACCACTTCATTATGTGACGATTATCGACTACTCCTCCTGTAGAGGGACATGCCCGACTGAAAATTATTTGAGATAACGCCCATGATCGGCCCGCCCCCCCCCAGGAGAGCCCAGAATCGAATCGGTAAGCCAGATCGGCGGTCGAAATGAATCGCATCGGCGGAAATCGGCAGCCGAGTCGGGAAGAGCCGAATCGGCGGAAATCGGCCGGCCAGTATACCTCCGATACACCCATCGGAGCCCAAATTGGAATCCCAAGGCGGGTCGAATCGGAATCGGAAGCAATCGAAATCGAATCGAATCGGAGGCATCGAAAGGAGCCTTGCCCCCCCGGTCACGACGGTGATCGCCAAAGGGATTAGATAAGGTCTCCGGCGCGACCAGCCGCCATCCCGAACGGAATCGACGGATGCCGCACGCGAGCGCTCGGCGTGCGCGGAGGCACGGGCGAGGGGTGCCCGCCTCCGCAGGCTGCACCACAAGCCTGCCCGCCTGCGCCTCATGACCTGGAGCGGACAGAGAGCCCAAGGGGCCCAGGGAGACACAAATAGATAGACACACGCACACACACACACATTCCAGGAATCCCAATCGTTTTCCATATTTCCTGGATGCTCCTCTTCCCATCCACATACCATGCTTCTCCAACATGTTCATGAACACCCGCGTTCATGAGTGGCTGTGTTTCTTTTTATTTCCCGATAGTCGACGCGCAGGCACGAGCGCGCGGGGGGCCGCGCCAGCCCGCCTTGGCCGCGTCCAGCGCCTCCTGCTGCTCCGCCAGGGCCCTCCCGTGCCTCGCGTCGAGGGCGGCGGTCGCGGCCTCGCGGAGGCCGGGTGGAGCTGCAGCGGGCGTCGAGGGCGAGCTGGGGGCGGACCCTGAGATCCGACGATGCGAACAGATTGCAGCACCGGTCGTGACAATCCACGACCAAAGAGCCCCGGACCCCCTCCTCTCTGCGGCATGGGCCGGATCGACCTGTGAGGGTCCTGGGGCCCAGCGCCGGGCGAAAACGCCCGGCGGCTCGAACAAACTCAGACGCCAGCAATGATCCGGGGAGGGGAGCCCAAAGGGCCGGGGAGGAGGCGGGCCGGAGCCGCGCCAGCCCGCCTTGGCCGCGTCCAGCGCCTGCTGCTGCTCCGCCAGGGCCCTCTCGTGCCTCGCGTCGAGCGCCGCGGTCGCGGCCTCGCGGCGCGCGGGGGGCGGCCGAGGGGGCACCCTGAGCGCCGCCGCGGCGCGGCAGCACCTGCGGACCGCTCAAAGAGGGCAGGCCCCCGGCACAGACCGAGCGGGGGGGCTTCATCCCACGACAGGTTCGAGTGAGTGTACGTCGTCGGTTGCGTGGCACTCGAACCCACACCAACAAAAACACATGACAGCCCATGCTGGACATGAACTGGCCACCACTCTCTGTCGCCAACTGTACTGCTCATGATGAGCCACGTCTGCATCGCGGAGCGGAGGGGGGCTGGGAAAAGGGCATGCCACTCCTTGACCACAACCAGGAGGACGACAGCAATGACGACGACGACGACGACGACGACGACGACGACGACGACGACGACGACGACGACGACACCGACACCGACAATGACGACAACGACAACGACGACGACAACGACGACGTCGACGGCACCACCAGCGGCGGCGGCGACGTCGAGCACCGGAGCTGTCAACATGACGCCAATCCCAGCCACACGCCGCACCCACACCGCACCCACAGGGGGGGAGGAAAGGGGGGAGGAGGATCATGGCGTCACCCCGCACACACCCGCAGCAACACACCACACCTACACCACATCGACAGGGGGGGGGAGAGCCACCACGCCACGCCCACGCCCACAGGGGGGGGGGGGGGCATCTTGCCGGGGGGGGGAGGGCCCATGGCATTAGCATTGAGGGGGGGGAACGCCAAACCCTCGACCATATATGGGCATGCCAGACCGCCAGCCAGCGCCCGTGGCGACCACGCGGTGCCCACGGGCGCCCTACGGGCCATTCAGCCCGCAACCGCCGGCCAACGAACGAGGCGTCCACGACGAGGCGCGAGCGGGTGCTCACCAGCCCAAAGACAGGAACCGAATGCTGATTACTCACCAACTGGAAACCCCTGAGCGCAAGCAGTGTTTGGGGAATCTGATCCGCCCACGCAGGAGCGGTGAAGGAGGCGGCAGGTGCCTAAACCGGTACAGCAGTCCCGTGGTTCATGCAGTCGGCTGCAAAGCGAAGTACAGACGCGGTCAGGCTCACCCCGCGAGTGGTAAATACACTTGTGCGATATCCAGCTGCCGAGGACCCAAATCTCAGGATTCCGACATACTGCCTTGAAAACGAACGAGAAACCTTCAGCAGCATCCAGGTGCTACCGCAAAGGCTTGGGGGCAAGAACGTGCAGCACGAGCACATGCCTTCCTCGCAAGATCGCACCAACCACAGACGCGCATGCTCAGACTCAACAGAGACGGCAGCCTTCCGTCGCTCGGCCAGCGGGCGGGTGGAGCTGGAAGAGAAAGGAACACGATGAGTACGGATGATTCGCCCCTCCCACAAGCCCCACCCCTGGTCAGCCCAGCCACGCCACGATTCCGACATCGTGCCCTCCCCGCCCAACGGGAACCGACACATTGTGACATGCGGCCTGTTCCCGGAAGTGCCGAAGTGGGCGCCTGCCAGTCTTGCGCGGATCTCCGCCGCTGTCCCACGGAGGAAACCCTTCAGGGCTGGGTTGGCCCAGGCCCACGGTGGTCTTCAACCTTGAGAGCAGCGCCCCCGCCGAAGAAGGAGGGGAACCCCAACCAGACCAACGAGAGGAGGGGGCAACCTGGGCTTAGCTAGGTATTCTCCTCGAGGGTGAAATCCCTGACCATCAATGGAGAGCCCCCTCCAGCTCTGGTTTACTTAGGGCTCCCCGCCCCCTGACGCCAGCGTCGCCACCGCGTCGATAGATGCCTCCGAGATGGGGGCTGAGTAGATGGTGTCGGGCGATCGAACCGCATCGCCAATGCCTCGTCGATACTTCGTCGACGCATCGGCGATGCATCGGCGTGGAAAAGGTCAGGCTCCACATCGAACGGCATCGCCGATGCATCGGCGTTACGACGCGATCCTCCGACCCCGTTTCTACTCCGACCCCATCTGGGAGGCCTAGACCATCTCTGTTCTGGTTAGGGCTCCCTGCCCCCCGTAACGCCGGCGCTGCCGCCGCGCCAACGAGGCGCGAAGCTTGCCGAAAGGCCCAGGCCACGAGCGCGCGGGGGGCCGCGCCAGCCCGCCTTGGCCGCGACCAGCGCCTCCTGCTGCTCCGCCAGGGCCCTCCCGTGCCTCGCGTCGAGGGCGGCGGTCGCGGCCTCGCGGAGGCCGGTTGGAGCTGCAGCGGGCGTCGAGGGCGAGCTGGGGGCGGACCCTGAGATCCGACGATGCGAACAGATTGCAGCACCGGTCGTGACAATCCACGACCAAAGAGCCCCGGACCCCCTCCTCTCTGCGGCATGGGCCGGATCGACCTGTGAGGGTCCTGGGGCCCAGCGCCGGGCGAAAACGCCCGGCGGCTCGAACAAACTCAGACGCCAGCAATGATCCGGGGAGGGGAGCCCAAAGGGCCGGGGAGGAGGCGGGCCGGAGCCGCGCCAGCCCGCCTTGGCCGCGTCCAGCGCCTGCTGCTGCTCCGCCAGGGCCCTCTCGTGCCTCGCGTCGAGCGCCGCGGTCGCGGCCTCGCGGCGCGCGGGGGGCGGCCGAGGGGGCACCCTGAGCGCCGCCGCGGCGCGGCAGCACCTGCGGACCGCTCAAAGAGGGCAGGCCCCCGGCACAGACCGAGCAGGGGGGCTTCATCCCACGACAGGTTCGAGTGAGTGTACGTCGTCGGTTGCGTGGCACTCGAACCCACACCAACAAAAACACATGACAGCCCATGCTGGACATGAACTGGCCACCACTCTCTGTCGCCAACTGTACTGCTCATGATGAGCCACGTCTGCATCGCGGAGCGGAGGGGGGCTGGGAAAAGGGCATGCCACTCCTTGACCACAACCTTGCCCCGATTTCTGGCCGCTGCGATCGCCGCGGCGACCTCCAAAACCGACCCCGAGAATCGGGGCTGGATATCACGCAGCCAGCCGTGCCTCGCTGCCTGGTTCAACGCGTACTGGGGGCGCCGAGGCAAGGGCGAAGGACCCGCAACGGTCGCGGCCTCGCGGCCCGCGGGGGCGGAAGGAAACCTGCCGCGCCCGGGCGGGCCGTCGATCCAGGGGTCGGACGGAACGGGTTGCGCGATGGCTCTTTGTCCGGGGCCGAGAGGGCAGGGACGCGAGCGCACCCTTGGGACACACAGCATCCTTAGCTCGACACCGGACAGTGGGTAGTGGGCACTGCGCCGCAGCGCTGACAGGGATCACAAGAGCGGGGGACAGCGGAAAATCCGGGCCAGCCGATTCAGTCATCCTGTTGTTGCCCCCGCCGCTGCTCACCCGAAGCAACAAACTTCGAGCATGGCGCCTAGCGATGCGCGACTCACGATCATCTTCGCGCCCTCGCGCCGCCCCGTTGGAGACGGGCACCCACTCTGGCCCAGTCTGGCAAAGCGCGAAGCGCGCGCTTCTTTCGGGGCCCCCGCGGCCGACGTGCCCTGTGTGGGTTTGATCTGCACGTGTTGTAAAGCTAACACACAGGGCACGTTCGGCGAATACTTGTCTGCAGTTGCCGAAGTGGACATTCAGCACGTGGTCGCCACGGGCACCACCACGCACCAACAGGTTTCAACTCATATTTGAACACACGAGTGACTTGATCACGAGTGGCCCCCTGGCGAAACTGCTGGTGGATTTGCAATGGTTTCCCAACGGATTTCGAATACGAAAACAAAAGTGACGCATCCAACCAAGTCGCCAGCAAAGAACTCCCCACGAATCTGGCGCAAATCTGGCGAAGAGTCCGTTGGAAACCCTTCCGGAAAATCCGCAGCGGGTTTCTCGAATCCCGGCGCACCTTCAATGTCATCGCACAACGACGATCGTCTGAACGCGTCCTGTGTTTAAAAATTACGTTCTCTGGCACCGATTCGCTCGCGCCGTCGCGCACCGCGATCTGCGCTTCCCCTTCTCCCGAGCGCGGGCGCGGGGCGACTCAGAAGCAGCGTGGCACCGTCACATGGTGCATCGCAAGCATTATGGCACTGGATGGGATGTACAGTTTCAATGGCAGGATGCCTGCCGTTTTCCCTCTCAGATGGGACGCCTAAGTCAGGACGTCGACGCGTAGGGCGTGCCAGCCTTGAGCCGAGAGAGCAGACGCGTCGCGCCCCGCGGACGCCCCCCTCTAAAATCCGAGAGGGCGGGAACGGCGCCGCACTCTGCTATTCTGCATTAGCTCCAGGGGCCCACGCAACGCAGCGCGCGAGGCAGAACGGTCTGAACAACATGTTACGCCGGCAAACCCAGGAAGCCCCGGGGATACCGAGGCCCACAAAAGAAAGAGCCCAAAGGACCCCCCCCCCCGAACATCGACCGCACTAGTAGTCAACAGGCCTCCAGGCTGGGCGCTGGACCTCCACCGACACATCGCTGCCTCTGACTTCTATATGCTACATTTCAAAAGACGCATGCTAGCCCCGGGACTGCACCTTCTGCGGCGCTCTGCCGCTCACGATTGGGCGATCAACAGCCCGCGCCGCGAGGCTCATCGCCGAACGGGGGTGGCGCGCGCGCTTCTGCGATTCATCCTGGATCTGCGATTGGGCCCACTGGGCCGTCATGTCGGCGGCGCGTTCTTGCTGGCCAAAGATCTCAAGTTTGGGCGCAGCGTAGTCATTGGAGGCGCTGCTGACTTGATCTTGGGCACTTGCTGTTTCAGCACGCTTAGCATCAAATTGCCCCAACGAGGCGCGCCAGTATGCCTCGCGCGCGGCGCTGGGCACCCCCGGCGCAGCTTCGCGCGCAAGTCGCGCGAGGACGCCTTGCGTTGGCGCAATTGGGGGCCTGGTCTGAATTCGCGCAGCCGCGGCGACGTGGGAGCAGGTTGCGGCGCCCTCATCACTGGGCCCGCGCGCCACGTGATTGGAAATGTCTGTCTAGCAAGGATCGCCGAGAAACGTCTCTCCGATTCGTGCATCGCCCACTCCTTCGCTGATCGCGTTGATCATCTGGTCCAGTCAGTCAAACCTGCTACCCGCCTCATTTCTGGCCATCTAGATCATCGCATTGTGAATCTGGAGGTGGCCACTGCTGTTGGCAGCTGGTGGCTCACGCGCCGCGAACGATCTGCGCGCGCATCTGACGTATTGCTAAAGGTCCACTGGCTCAGTCTCGCGCATAGAGATCACGTCGGCCCCCGCCGAGGCTTGACCACCCGCGTAATTGAGCTGCTCCTTGGAAAGGGGCACAGATCACCACTGTGCATGTCACAATGGTAACGAAGCTTGCAGCGTGGTTGTTGACCTGCTCGAGCTCGCTGTGTTTTGCGCGCTGTTGCACTCGTTGAGCTCTGGCTTTTCTCTGGGGTGCATGCAACATGTCATCGCGCTGCTCATGGATGAATGATATTGCTCCCCTGCCCCTTTTCAAACTCATTGAGGCGTGGCCCAATGCCGAAAACTGATCATAGGGAACGGCGCGGCCACTCTGTCCCCGCCGCTGCCCTCGGCACTTTGGGCCGCAAGGACTTCGACAGCAGCGCGAGCGTAGGCTTCGATGACTGGGCGGGTCACCGTCCGAGCGCGTTCAGCCACGGCCCGCGATTGCTGGTCGCCGCGCTCGTTGTCTGCCCTCGCGCGTTCTGTGAAACCACGGCGAAGTGCCTGGAGAGCCCCTCTGCCTTGCGCCTGAGAGGCGAGTCGTCATTGCCTGATTTGCCCCTGCGTTGAATTTAGCCGGTCACCCGGCAGCCAGGGTGCGTCGACTCGACGCTCGCCAGATAGGCGGTTCGCGTCGGCCCAACGCTCGCGCGGTTTACGCGCGCCGGGCCGACGCCCGCGCGTCGGGCGCGCGCCGACTCGGTGCCCGTCGACGCGGCACGCGCCGACCCGACGTTTACCTGTCCGGCCCGCGTCGACTAGACTCTCATCGCCGCGGAGCGCGTCGACTCGACGCTCGTCGGTGTT